CCCGGCGAGCCGCCCTGGGGGGCGGGGGCCGTTTCCATAGCGGCGGCAGGAGGTGTCGCGCCGGGGAACTTCCTGGTTCCCGGGCTCGGCCGCGCTGGGATCCTCTTGGAAGGGAAACAATGGGGCGGAGGGCACTGCAGTAGCCGCTGCCGCGCCGGACCTGCTCGGCCGCCTGGGACCGTCAGCCTGCCTGCCGCCCGCAGCCTCCGCCGCCGGGACCGTCCTGAGGTAACTTCCTCCCCTCTCCGGCGCCGCGAGCGGCCGGCGCCCGGGCGCCTGGGGTGCGCTCCGCGAGCCGGGACTTGGAGTTGGCCCCCGGGAGCCGGACGCCGCCATTCCCGGACCCAGGAGGGAACGCGGCCAGGCCCCCGGCTCGGCCCTGGAGGAGCGGCTCGGGGGCGCGCGGGGCCAGTGGGGTCCGGCTTGATTGGCGGGTGTGTGTGTGTGTGTGCGGGGGCGCGCGCCGGGGAGGGGGCCAGGAGGGGGCCAGGAGGGGGCCGGGGCTGCGAAGCCCGGGAGGCGGGACCCGCCGCCGCCTCCCCCAGCGCGAGTTTCGGTCCCGGGGGAGACGTCTCCCTAGCAAGTTTCAGTTGCGTGCTCCAGAGTCCAAGTGGGCAGGACCAGGGAAAACTTAGTTCTTTTTAAATTATTGCTTTCATGTGGTGGAACTTTGTTTCCACCAGGGACGGGGAGGATGGGCTGAGCGAGGGATTTGCAAAGCCTGGAAATGTGTGCGCCTTTGCAAAGTTTGCAAAATAGTTTGAGGCTCGCAACTGTGAGGTGGTGCGTGAGAACTCGTTACTCGCAGGTGTTTTAATGCTAGAAAACGTGAAAAGTCTGTGACTCGATGGGTGGAGGCTTCTGTAATTTGAAGGTCGAGCTGCCCCCTCCTTTTTTCCCTTCCTTTAATTCGCAGTGCTTTTCAGATGGAAGGCTTTAGCGCGACTGGGAAGGCTCCGTGAATTGGGGCAATACCCAGGCTTTGGAAACGAGATATGAATGAAAAAAAAAAAAAATGGGGACGTTGTGTTGAATATTTTACTTGGTGGAAGATAATGATTTCAGTTCTGTATGAATCGTTTTATAAAAATAATACAGTTTTTGGGATATTTGGTACTTTTTGGGATAGGAAAGTTGCACAGAACTTTCTGATCACCCTGGCCAACTCTCGTCTATACATGTTGAATCTCGGGTGTGCGCTGTCGGGGGGCGGGCGGGGGCAGTCAGAATGCTTTTTTACTTTCTTGATGATATCCTAATAAAAATTACTAAGTTAGGCATTATCAAATGAACACTGGTTAATTTGCTTTTATTTCTCTTTCTGACCCTAAAAAATGTTTTTGAGTTTGTCGTTCTTTTGTAATAAAAATTGTAAACATGCTGTAGTTCTTTATTTAAGATGAATGTTAGGACCCAGGGCTAGAGCCAAAAAAGGAAACATAAAATTATACTAATAAAAGTGTAAAATAACTTTTAAAGGAAAAAAGAGTCCATTGCAAGTACAGGTATTCTGAGTTAACAGAAATTCCTTTGCTGATTATGTATTGAAAGAATTAATGAGTTGTCACAAAGACATTCAAAGAACCGTCATTTGCCAAACATTAAGAATTTGGGCCCTGAGCCCCGGTGTCAAGGCTATTGACTGTTTTTAGCTAGACTGTCAAACCCTGTTATACCAGTTTCTAGTAAGGATAGTTCATCACCAGCGTTAACTGTGTTTTGTGATGCCAGTAGCTCCCTACTGAGGACGAGTGACTTGGCTAAGCAAGCTAGTAAAGAGAAATGTCATATTACGCATTATTGGGAAGCAAGAGAGCTACCCACCATGGCAGATCCAATCCGGTCCTCAGTGCTAACCAGAATTTGCGGTGGGTCTGCGTTTGCCATCTGTGTCAAATTACTGTTACATTTGTAACCGGTAAAGATCGGTGAAGAAAAGGCCAGCAGGTTCAAATTGAGAACAAAGAAAGTGCTTTAAGAGCTGTGAGGAATGTTGGGGCAGTTTGAATCTGACCAAGGAGAATACAAAGGTTTTGAGAATTACTATTTCAGGTAGACAGGTGATTACATTTTTTTGGTTCATGTTTGCTGTTTCACTTGAAACCATTCTTGGTTTGTAATTGCAGCTTAGGTTACTAATTACCAGAAAGTTACAGTTTGTCCCTTCATTGTGATTTTTGGAAAGCACATTCCAATTTCAGATGTGATTTAATTATACTCATTTGCCCCTTTAAAAAAGGTGTTTCCCATTTTTAAAGTGGAAGTTAATACAAAAATAACTTGAAAGAAACCTAAGTTAACACATTTCCGTATAGTGTGAGTGTAGGAGATTAGGATATAGGAATTAGAGTCAAACACATGTCACTTTCAGGCTGTATCATCTTATGCAAATTACTGTACTTAATTTTTGGAAGCTTGGTTCTTTGTAAAATTGGAGGTAGCTATAAATCCAAAATTAATCCATGAATGAGTGCTTTTTGTGTATCCTCAGAATTTGTGTTAGTTACTTTGATTTCAACAAGTGGTTGGGCCATTTGAAGTAAAGTACAAGGAGCTATGCAGATAACCTAGGGACCTTAACTTGATTTTGGAGGAACCAGGGCAAGTTCCCTGAGTAAGAGTAGTTAAGACCCAAGGTAGGAGGAGGGATAGGAAGTAAAAAGGGCTGTTGGGTTAGATGAGAAGCGTTGAAGAGTGAGGAAGACCATCTAGTCAGAGCTAAGGAGATGAGTGTGGGGGTTATGTAAGAGTAGGTATTAGTTCATCGTGCATGTAAGCAGTCATCCTTTTCTTGGGAGGTCTATTGGGGATTGAGCCCAGTGCTGTCACACTGCGTTATATCCCTCAACTCTTTGACTCAAAGTTGCTATGTTGCTCAGACTGGGCTTGAACTTTCAGTCCTTACAATTGGAATTACAGAATTGGATATCTTGCCTGGCTGTTTCTTTGCCAGAGGAGGCTCCTAGTACTGTTTTTCTGTCACTTGAGTGAAGCGGCTTGCTTTTGTTCCATGGTTATTATAGAAAGGGGGTCAGCCTGCTGGACCCTAATCACACTTGACCTGCACACTTTGGTGTCTACTTTTATACATTTTTTTAGTGTATTTTCAGAATTTGGGTTTATCTATTATAGATAATAGTTTATTAATTTTTATGACTGAAAATGGGGTTAAATATGCATTTAATAATGAAAGACTTTAATTTCTTTACAAAGATTGTATCTGGAGAGTGTTTTGATTGCACTGTCTTTAAGTTTAGACTGTATAGCAAAGCTTATAAAACAAAAATATTTAAGTGTTCAGCTGTTTTCAATTGCTCTGGGAAGGTGATTGATTCTAGAGTTTGTCTTTTCTTTTATGTTTAAAAATTTTTTTTTAAAAAAGTCTTTTATTATTTGGTGTAGGGTCTTGCTACACAGCTCAGACTTGTAGTGATCCTCTTGTCTCGGCCTCCCCAGTGGGGGGGATTACAGGCATGCACCACCACATGCCCCCAACACAGTGTGTGGTACTAGGGTTTGAACGTGGGTCCTTGTGCTTGCTGGGCAGGTGCTTAGACCTCCAAGCTGTCTCCCCAGCCCATTGTTTTCTCTTTGTTATAAAGATAATTGAGTTATTTTCTAATACAGGTCCACATTGTACCTGTGTCTTACTGACATGGATGGAGTGTAGAAAAGTTAAAGTTTTGTCCTGGAATTTCCTTTCATTGAGTCAGCAAGTGAACTAAAAATATTAGAGTACTGTCTTCATGAAATAAATGAAAAGTTATCGTTTTAAAGCTTTTTGACATGTTAATTTTTCTGTTAGTAATGTATAGATAAGTGATTGCAAGTTAATATTTTATTGTGGAATTAGGGCAGTATTTATAAGTAAGTTGGCTCTTGAAGCTTTTCTTGTTTAGATTTGGGACATTTTAATGCTTATTAGTGTGTCTGTAGTAAGATAATAAAATTTTGAAAAATTAATCATGGAAAAATTGAGAGTAGAGTCTAAAATTTATGAAGATGAAATGTTTGTGGTTAACTAGAGTTGGCTATCCTGTTATTTATTGGGTATACAATTATATTGGGATAAATGATTAAAACTAGAAATTTGTTTCACCTTATTTTTTTAAAAAATGATCATTTCCTCCTGTTTTTTTTTTTTTTCCTTTCCTCCTTTCTTAAGACAGGTTCAGGTTCAGGCTAGCTTTGAACTCATTGTTTAGTCCAGATTGGCCACTATTTGGCATTTCTCCTGCCTTAGTCCAGAAGAGCTGGGATCACAGGCATACATCACCATGCTTTGCTTTGTCCTTCTTTTAAAAAAAATGGTTTGGAGTTATATATTCTCTTACTATTTTTGTAGTGTTTATTTCAGAAATTGTAATATATAATATATTCTTGACTTATCAAAGTATGTTGGTTAGTTGAGACTTTGCCCATCTGCTAGATAAAACATTTAGTTCAGTCAGGTGAGTGTACACGCCGGTAAGCCCAGCACTTGAGAAGGAAGCAGGAGGGTTGCGTGGGTGTGAGGCCGGCCTGAGCTAGTAATGAGACTGTGTCTCAAAGACAGCAGAAATGTACATTTAGTTCAATTTTCAAACCTTAATGATTGCTGTGTTTTGAAACGCATATACAGGAAAAACCTTACAGACATGCAGTATTTCTGTTTTTACTGTTACTATTCTGTTACACTTACTGCCTTTTGTTTTTGTCATTGCTTCCTGTGTTACTGGCCTTCCTCTGGAATAGTTTCCTTCTGCCTGAAGAACACTCTTTAGTATTTAGGGTAGATCTAATATTGACAACTTTTTTTCCATTTGTCTGAGAATATTTATTCACCTACATTCTTGGTATATTTTGCTGTGTACAGAATTCTAGATTGGAGATCAATCTGTATACATTTAATTTCTATATAAGTTCTCTGAAGGGATTATTTGTAAATTTTGTGTTTCTGTTAGACATCATCTGCAGTTTATTGCCTCCTCATTGGTAATTTGTTTCTTTTTCAAGATACCTTAAGGATTTTTCTTTTGCCTTTGTATTTATTTTATTTTTGTATTTTTAAGGAAGGGTCTATAGGGTGTTCAGGGTCTGACTACTAGATCGGACTCTGTGATTCACCTGTTTACAGCCTCGCAAGAGCTGGGATTACAGGTGCTTGCCACCACTCCCAGTCTCAGTTGCCATCTCAGCGAGCCCTGAAGGCAGGAGGCCTGCAGGGCACGCCAGCCAGGGATTGAGCC